AAGGAAGGAAGGAAGGAAGGAAGGGAAACCTTTGTCTTCCCCCGCGGGTGGCACTACAGAGCCATATGCGCTTCCGAGTGTTATGCGGAGCCCGATCCTATGCATCTTTACTCGGAAGCAAGAAACACTGCGTCCAAAGGTTCAGCTGCATGCAAGAATGAACTCTACATTCTAGATGAAAATTAAGAGCCTTTTCAAGGTTGGAGGGCCGGTCCCATCTTGCAACAGGCTCCCAATGACTCCTCCACGCTCCTGGGCGCCTACAAAACAATTTCTGTCCCTTCCTTCCATTCCTCGAGGAAAATGGAAATCCCAGAGGAACAGATAACGTTGTGGTTGTTGTTGTTAGCTACCTTCCAGTTGACCTCGACTCATGGAAACCCTGTGGATGGGACATCTCCAAGACCCCCGTGTCCTCCTCTGCTCTGCTCAGATCCTGCAGGCAAAAGCAAAACAGCTTCATTTATATACCGCTTCACATTGCGCTATGGGATGTCTAAGCGGTTTACAACTGTAAGCTCATTGCCCCCCAACAGCTGGGTACTCCTTTTTGCCACCTTGGAAGGATGCAGGCCTGAGTTTAGCCTGAGCGTTCTCTGATTGAGTCCAACCGTCTTTCATATGATCTTAGTATCTTTCTGCTGCCTTCTGCCTTTTCCAGCATTATTGTCTTTTCTAGTGAGTCATGCCTTCTCGTGATGTGGCCAAAGTACAACAGCTTCAGTTTCATCATCTTGACTTCCAAGGAGACTTCAGGCATGATCTGTTCTAGGACTCATTTCTTTGTCTTTTTGGCCAGCCACAGTATCCTCAGCACTCTTCTCCAGCTGCTGTTGTTGTGTGCCTTCAAATCATTTTCGATTTATGGCGACCCTATCAGGGGGTTTCCTTGGCAAGGTTTCTTCAGAGGGGGTTTGCTATTGCCATCCTCAGAGGATGAGAGAATATGACTTGCCCAAGGTCTCCCAACGGGTTCCCATGGCCCAGCTGGGGTTCAAGCCCTGGTCCCCAACACTCAGACCACTCGGCCACACTGCCTCTTCTCCAGCCCCGCATCTCAAAGGGGCTGATTTTCTTCTGAGGCCGGCTTTCTTCACTGCCCACTTCTGGCATCCTTACCTGGAGGTGGAGAATACAAACGCTGGTAACTAGGCACTGAAAATGTTCTCTTTCCTCTTCTCCTTC